TGACAACAACCAACTGTATGATGTATAGGTCGAGGCCTGCGTCATGGAATGGACCACCGGGACAAGGACTGAAACAAAATTTTACAAGGAGCAGTATGCGACGGTGTTCAACACATACCTGACCCTCCTCATCAACTTTCACGAAGGTACGAAACACGCTGGTATTATCCCAAGGATTTGCAAAAAAGCTGTTGAAGGTTGCACGGTAAGTAGTAATACACTGATTATTTGACATGACAGTACTAACGACAACTCACCAGACACCACGGAAATGTCGCCAACGAGCCTATCCCAAGTGCTGCTACTCAACACTTCACAGTCGACGAGTTCGCGGCGGCGGCAGCTGAGTGGGATAATCGCAGCGGAGCTGACTCAGAGGATGATATGATGTGGTATGGCTAACTGGTTGTGCGAGCATTAGTACTAGTACTGTTCATGTTTCGTGGCTCCCGGAAAATAAAAATGCCGTACTATTGTTTTTCCTAGTGTCCTCCAGGCCTACTGACCACTGGATCCTACGGCGTGCCTATTCTATACATGAGTGTCCTACTCGCTACCTACATATCCGGGACTTACCTACCAGGCTACCAAACCGACAGAGACTATATAGGCTCGCTTAGGCACTGTGCTTTTTCCTGATGTCGGCAACCAGTCCGTTGTCGACCAAGCTCCTCGTGGAGGTCCTCCCGCTATTTGTCCCAATTCTGAATGAGGATGCTGGTAACTTGCTGTTCACGAGGACCTTATTTAGGGCGGTGTTCGTCAGATTGACATACTCCCATAAGGTAGCGTACGACTTACCCTTTCACAAACATATTTGCTCGCGCCATATCCAGGGCCTTCTGCGACGCCCGCGTCGTACTGTACTTCTTCTGGGAAGGGTCCTTTCGATTTATCCCAGTTTTGCGCAGTTGAGACAGAAGAGGTGAATAAAAAACGCGGCCTCGGATGCCACGGAGAAGATAGAGCCAGGTTTATAAGATTGCGTGTTCCCCGAACTTGAGGCTCGAAGGACGACAGCGCCAGGTTAAAGTTGAGTGGCCAGGCGTTGTGAATGATGACAGTGACGCATGCGCAGATCTAGATCGTGTTTTATTAGTAGACTAGTCTACAGAGCAGGCCGGAAATGAAGCAAACCTTCTGATACACCTCCTTCTCCAAACCCAGGTCATCACTAGAAGTATCCGTTTCTATATATAACAGTTTCTCTGACTGCAGGAGGGTGACATCCAAACCACGGTCATCGAATCCATTCCTCTGTCGTTCTTGAATGGATGCAGTACCCTTCGACGGACGATTGAAGGCATATACCATTGACACATCCTCGCGCTGTAGCAAAGATGCAAGCAGGTATGAACCAAGACCGCCTGTGGACCCAGTCAGGATGACCACATGATGGCTTCGACTGCGTCCACTGACAAGATTGGCGGAGGCATCTCTGACAGAGTCTCCACTGAATCCCACCGAATACTTCTCGACCATGCTCTCGATATCAACCTTGACATCGACCAAGGTTGGATTGTTCCCATGCAATACTACATGGACGAGGCTTCTCGCGAGCTGGCGGATTGAAGGACTTAAAAAGACGATGTTCTGGTCAATTTGCGGTGCTGAAGCCTGGACGTCGCGATCTGATGACGACCTGAGGGAACTGATGATTTGGCTTCTGAGGAATGTCGCAGAGAGACTGGAGGTAGGAAGTCAACAAAGCACGAGTCTTGATTGACCATCAGCTCACCTGTCAAAGCCCTGAGCGAAGAAGTCTGTGTCAGGGATCGACCGCCTTGCCAGCGTTCACAGAAACGGCATGGAGCATGAGCCAACTCTCAACGTCCTCCACAGTCCAGTTCGTAGGCAAAGGCACATCGATTCCTGTTCTGCCGCCCTCCACCCTTGTCGTATCTGACGCCCATTAATATCATTTTCGGACACTGGTGAAAGCACCTGCTCACAGGGCATTGATCTCCTCTTCGTATATTTGGCTAGTGGCTTTCTTGGTGATGGTCCCTTTTCCAGCTCGAGGCATGGGCTTCTCCTTGCGCGTCACAAGAATCATTTCCTTGAATATTCTGCTGAAGGCAGGGCCCGCCTTGTTCGCTTCCTCTATCTCAGGCCTTCAAGAGCATTTTTAATCATGAAAGCCGCACGCAGTTTTGCAAAGATCTTACCAAACTCGATTCCTGAACTCCGAAATTTGTGCCTCGTCGTTGATGTCGATTTCATGCCCCGCTCGTGGTTCTATGAGGACACCAACATGGCTACGTCCACGACCGAAGATCACGGCACCGTTCACATAGGGATTAGTCCCGATGATGCATTCCATGGGAGCTGGTATTACTTTCTCCCCGGACGAGAGCATCAATACATCGTCCTTCCTTCCTGAGCTGTAAAAATAATGTCAGACAGTTCCAGAACATGAATGACACAATTGTCAGTCGCACATCTTCCACAGACCCTCAATCGTTGGATGCTTGATAAACAAATCCGAAGTAGCATAACCCTTGACGTCCGGGAGATTCTCCACCGACACTCGGTACATCGGGGTTGTCTGCGAGGAAAAGTCCACATTGAGAGGACGTATAAAGAGTGAGACGTACCAAAATTTGGCATTCATATGTTTCATCGCCTTGATGAACCCATCTGGTCTTGATGTTTGGGATAAACCGCAGCCAGTCCCAAAGCTTTTTCTCGACCCCATCCCGGAATATACGAGTGACGGGCCCAATTTCTGTAGAGCCATAGATAGGGAACAGATTGGTTCCTGCATCCACCAGGGCATTTCCCGTCTTGGAGGCGAGTGGACCGCCAGTATAGAGCTACAACACCATGAGTCGTTCCTTGCAAAAATAAACCTATAACATACGACATATTCGAGATTCTTCAGAATATCAACAGTATTGGGAGAAAACGCCCATTGCTCCAGGAAGAAAGGCATGACCCACAAAGCATTCGATTTGGTATCAAGCACAGACTCCAAGATATTTTGGGAATTGGGTGTTAAGGGGGCTGCTGATGGGTCGTGGAAGGATGTGGGTGGGTAAATGGATACGCTGCTCAAGGACACGATGGGTACTAGCAATTGGACCACCACACCCGTAGTATGGAACGCTGGAACGGATGCAGCAGCGATGCGGATAGGAGTGAGAACGCCGATGTGGTCGACAATGCATGCTGATATCACCCTGTTAATACTTTGCTTCGCAGATTGTGTCAGCGGCTTACGGCTTGTGCACCAGTCAATGACAGTCTGGTTGGTTGCTGGAATGGCTTTCGGGAACCAGTACTGCCAGAGGAATGTAGGTAGTACAATATATCGTTCTGAGATGACCGAGAAGCTTGGGGAGGGTATGGGAAATCCTCGTCTAGAGAACCTGTGCCAAGCGCGGGATATAAATCTTTCAGCGTCGGTATCTCGTCAAATTGCAGCTGGCTCGCTTCAGAGTCATGAGATACGCTACCCGCTTTAATTCCGTCAATAAGGGAACCGAGAGAGTGGTGAGTGGTGACTAAATGACGACACTTTGTTTTTTGCATCATGCTTAAGATTGCCGCTGCTGAATTACGAGGGGACATGGGGAATGGCTTAAAAAGCAGCAGTCAGAGATACGTTCGAGCAGAAAAAATGTTCACATACGACTAGCCCAGCGAAGATAATACCCATAAACACCGTCTGATAAAGAAGGGTATCTGAATTGGCGATGATGCCAACTACCTCTTTGTCTGTGCCTGCACGATCTGGTCTAACTTCATGTGCGGCACGATGACAAGCTCGATAGAAGTCTAGGTGTGAGATGGAGACCAGCTCGTTTTTGCCAGGTTTATTGTAGACAAAGAATGTGACGTCCGAGTTATGTTGCGCATTGAATTCCAGCAATTCAGGGAGGAACAGAGATTCATCAAGAGGAGGATTATTGACAGAATTTGGATGTGAAGCAATCATGTTTTGTATGCTTAACTAGGCCGGTCACAATCCTTCGTGAAGGGGATCCAGCTCAGAATGTAGAGGATCAAGGTAGTTCTAGTATGCGTCCACGAAGTCCCCGAGTCTTTTAAAGTACCGCTGGGGTGGGAGGCTGAGCCCGAGTACACCCTGACCTCTCAAGATCTCATGTTTGCTAATGGCCATTTCGGGTGTTTCCTGTGCACTTCGAGAGACTTCAAGTTATGGCGTATGTATATGATTGACACGTACTTGACTATATCATACGTGTCAACTTTTGATTTTAGGAGGGGGGTCCTTGGTATAGACGGATGTCCAACTAGGCTGACATCTAATAGGTCCTAACCGCAGTGTTACTTGCAAATTCTGTCAACCAGTTTGGCAGGACCGTTCTACCAGACAAATGACAGATCAACAGTAACGAAACCAGACATTTTAGGAAGCGGAGAAACCTCCAGCGCAATCGCTTCTTCTATATTCAAGGACGCTCGTCCAGATAGGCTTCCGGTGTTCCTATGACCCGAGGGAACTTTGCTTCGCTTGGAAAACACGAGACTTCGGTTGAGGTTGTTGTACCGAAGTCAGTCGAAGTGACATTTCATTCACTTCGCGAGTCTGATTCTTGATGGCCCACCGTTTATGGTCACTGTGCACACTCGTTCAAGAAGTTCAAATGCCAGTTGGCGTCGCATCGCATCGATCCGAGTCGAGGTCCATGATTTCGAGGTGTTCCGCTGAGTCTTCGTAAGTGTGTTTTCATATCCAGTGCTGTGTCGCATTGCGCGATAGAAGATCTATCGATATTGGCAGGACCTCGGATGAACTTCACTTACCTAGGGAATCTTATAACCTGCAAGGGGTTACTGCGCGGCTCGTCTTGTGAAAGTAAAAGAGGATTAATATTTCAGTTATACTCTGACTTAATACCCACAACTGCTTTATGCGCCATACACCTTGTGCAACATGCAGTGAAATCATGATCCACCTCGACTCCGGGAGTTAAATAGGAGAATGAATCATAGCAGGAAAGCAGTCTGATGAGGCATGTACTTATGCGCAACGGGTGCGCTCGATACCGGTAGTGCCGCCGCCGACTACCAGAACCACGGATTTAGAAGTATTGAGTATTCGAGGAACCTTCAGCGAACATTCGAATCAGTACCTGGTTAATGCAGATACGAGAAATACTCACCATGTGTCGCTTCCGACTCGCAAGTGTGACGATGTACTACGTACATTGCTGTGTATCCAGTGTGTCTCTATGTAACGCCTGAGTGGGATTGCGCATTGATGCGGTAAGAAGTTGTACTGACATTGTCGGCGGGAGAATAGTTTGAACTCCAGAATAAACTGGAAATGAAACTCTTCTCCCGGCGACGGCGTCTTTGAAAACCCCTTCACAGAATCGGTCTCTACATCTGGTATACGAATTCTAAGGGATCATGAACATGATATAGGCAGGTTGTGAGGAAACATTTACGATTTTTTGTTCCAAAAAACACGACTTGATAAACGTCGTTTCTGGCACCTAGTGTCAAGTGATCAAATTTCCGTGCGGCAAAGATTCGTCAGCTGGCTCTGACCATACTTTGTCACACGGAAATTTAGACAATGTGCGGACTTCGTCAATGTGAGTATCGAGCTCATTGAATATGTTGGTACAGTTTTAAGAATCACGAGCTGGGATGACTCGAAAAAAAGCCTTGGTCAGATGGAATTCGGCAAGCTTTACTTACTTAAGCTATGATTGATTGATCGCGGACAACGGAGTTTGAAACCGATGGTTAAAAATTTTCTAGCGGATCTCAAGCCAGTCACTTTACTTCGTCCAGTGTTTTCTAGAGTTCCGCCGCTAGCCCCAACTTTCAAGTAAGTAATCCTATCCATCGTATTTTATGTTCCCTTCTACTTGGTCCTTTTGATGAACAAATATCACATTCAAGCTCAACAGTCTTATGGACCTCTGTGTCTAGCTGCTGACTACCATTACTTCTGCAATTCTGACACCTATCAGGCATTCCAAGACCATCATTTGATCAAGTACTAATGTTCGTTCTTCCAGGCGTCAACCGTACATTTTTGTTCTCGGATCCGCTTGCGCTCATGTATTATTATATTGTCGTGGCCTGAATATATTGCTTTGGTCATGTTTTCACCACATCCCGAGTTGTGTCGTGCAGTGTCAATAGTATAAATCTTAATAATGTTACAGGATGCGAGTACTTGAGTAGATGTATATGGTCTGAGTACATGTGCAGCGAGGGGATTAAATAGCATTGTTGCGGTCCATGATCATAGTGCTGTTCCCCGCTCGAAACTAGCCCGAATCTCGGAGGTATATTTGTCATAGTACCGCGCAATCTGTTGCTCTTCATCAGGTCATATTTCAAGAACATCGTGTACAATGACATACCTTTTTGTTGAACACCCGATTCCGCTCATTGATGTAGGTAATGTCGCCCTCATCCTCATTGAGTCTCTTTCGCGAGAATTTGCCCTTCTTGTCAATACTACGGCGTCATGTCAGTGCTACAAGGAGAAGCAAAATCACACAGCAACGTACTCTCTGTTGATCTTGCCAACCACTCTATCGATGGCATCTTCAGTAGGCTTGTTGTCGGCGTACAGCAGAGTATTGGCATCTCGGTAAAAGCTCTCTGCAGCCATCCGTTGTTCAGATGGAACCACCTGAGAAATGTACATCATAAGAAATGCAAAACAATGAAAAGGTTCAGCAAGACTCACCTGTCCGCCTGAAGGATGGAAGGTTGTGAGAGCAGATGATGATGGCGTGCTGCTCCCAGACTTTGAAAGAGACCCTGGTGCCAATCCCAGCACGGCTTCTTTCTGTCGGTTGTATGCAACGAGGTCGGGTTTGATAAGGTCAAGGTCTTTCTTGTAGCGCCGTCGAGCCGCGTGAACATCATCTACACAAGAATCTTTGATGAGTGTCATCATGCAATGAATAACATAAACCCCTACCGTGAAACTCATAGTCCGCTCTCCGTGCCTTCCTCGCTTTTTTCTTTTCCCAATTATCATTCTCTTCTATCGTCCATTCCCAATTCTTCTGCCGTTCCACATCCTCTCCCCGATCCTCAGCTTCAGCCTGCGTGCGCAGCACCTCTGCAAGTTTCCGCTGTCGTTCTAGCCGTGCAGTATCCCTCGCTGTCATCTTGGCTTTGGAAGACTCTTCAATGAGGGAGGCGCGATTCGCTTTCGTTGTTGAACGCTGTGGAAGAGAGGGTAAGGGATGAGGAGTACTATGTAGAGAGGACCACGCACCATCTTCGCTCTTAGCTGCTCCATTTTTGCTTTTCTCTCATCTATCGTCATCGTGCCTTCTTCTGCTGTCTTCTCTTCGCCGCTATCTGAAGTCATTTGTCGAGCGCAAGTGAGTGATGCTGGACCACGAACTGCACTGTGTTAAACGTCGCTTATGTAAGCCTTACTAAACTAGAATGGAGCCGGACCATGTATTTGTGTGCGTATACAGAACATTCTCAAAAATAATAGGTAACCGGCCGTTGGCAATACTAATATTTGTTGTTCAAAGCCGTATACAGCTGGCTGCGGAATCGGACAAATGCGCAGCGCTGAGCGCATCATCAGCATGTATTTTGCTCGTTGGCATCCTATACGTTCGTTATTCCTCATTCTCCACTGGCTTGTGGTCTCTCAGCTCTTGGACCTTCTCTGGTAACTCAACGATCAAAGCTGAGGCCTGAAGCCTGAGTCTTCAAGTTGACATGATACCATTAATTTTTCTTACATTTCTCTTCGCGCTGCCTGCGGGTACATTTGGATTACCGACAGACGTTGTTCCGGTTTCCGGTCAGACCATCTCCCTTCTAAGAAGGAACCAATCTCCTCGAGATGTCACCGAATGGGGCGCTTTGGCGAAGAGTCAGAGGGACAATTTAATAGCAAAGTATGGCAGCCCGAAAACACAGAAAAGAAGCACTGGTTATAATCTGTACGTAGTAATTAGCGGGAAATGTGTTTACTGAGTGCAACTTTTCTTCAGGATCGTCGATCAGCTGGATGATTCTAGGTAGGCGTTAGATATGTTCTCCTGTGTGCATGGCTCCCTGATTGAAGCATCCCTACAGCTACTATGGTTCACTGGCTATTGGTACGCCTGCGGTGTCCTTTGATATCATATTAGACACGGGCTCTTCGTGAGATCCAGTGCAGTTGACGTGGTGGGATAATTTAGTAATACATTATCGCAGTGATCTCTGGGTCGCCAGTTTTTCTTGTGGAACTTCATGTGGGTCGAGTCCTACATACGATCCATCGTCTTCATCAACCTTCCATAACCTCTCTACGCCATTCAATATACAGTATGGCTCGGGCTCTGCAGATGGCTATGTTGCACAGGACACAGTGCAAATGGCGGGATTCTCCGTTTCTACTCAAGGTTTTGGTCAGAATATCCTCTTATTTACAGGCCCGCTGGCGTCTACTTACGTGCACTACAGCTGTCGTTGACGCGGTGTCAACAAATTTGCTGATATCACCGGTCTCTGGCCTACTTGGTTTGGCATGGCAATCCATAGCAAGTTCAGGTCAGATGCCCTTATGGCAAACTTTGGCCTCCGGTAATGCTTGGGACTCAGCTCTTTTTGCTGTTCAGCTCACTCGGTGACAATATTTTCTCTTGAAATGAAGTGTATTACTAAAATGGAACAGGTATAAAAATGATTCCACCGCCCAGCAACTTGAGCCCGGAGGAGTCCTTAATATGGGTACGAGATGTTTCATACCGTAAGACATCTACTCAAACAAAACTGCTCTTAGGTTACACAAACAGTAGTTTGTACACTGGCTCGATTGATTACATCGATATTCCCGGAACTCCCTCATTTTGGTATATACCATTGATTTGTAAGTGGCTTACCAACTCATGAAAAATCTGCTCATTTATTCCAATCCAGCAATGACTGTGCAAGGCAACTCCGTCTCTATTACTTCAAGATCAACTGCTGCTATCGACACTGGCACGACCAATATAGCCGGTCCGGCCAGCTCAATTGAAGCCATTTACGCACAGATTCCCAATTCACAACCAGCCACGGGTGAATGGGAAGGATATTATAGCTTCCGTAAGCAAACCTCTTGAGCGTCGCGAGGTCAAGTGGCTCAACGCTCAATCAGCATGCTCGACGACTGTAAACGTAGAAGTGTCGTTCGGTGGCGCCACGTGGTCGATGAGCCCAGCAGATTTTGCCTTCACACAAACCAGCTCAACAGAATGCATTGGTGCATTCTTTGAAGCAAGTACTGGTACTGGGACCCCCTCTTGGATCTTCGGCGATGCTTTCCTGGTATGTGGCAATGATAAACGGCCTTTGAGTTCTGCAATACTGATCATTTTTTAATATTCCATTCAGAAAAATGTGTATTCTGTCTTCCGATATAATCCCCCTTCGATTGGCTTCGCCAACCTCTCAAGTATCGCAATCGCTGAAAATGGCGCTGGGGGCACCGTCCCTTCCGCGACCATCGGTACAGCATCTGTATCGGTCACCAACACAAGCGATGCCCCACGCGGACACGCACTGAGTGTATCATTGTTTACTCTTCTCTTCCTAGCTTTCTCAGCAGTGCTCCTCCTTTAACTTCCACGCTATCTGCATTCGCCTTTCTAATGGAGGGCTCATCTTTGTAGGACTAAACGCTCACATATTTGGACCACACTCACTTATAATTCATGTAGCTATATGATTCGAGGGAGGAAGTGTAATTGTTACTGGCCAGTTCTTTATGGGTTGTAAGTAGTGACTTGTCATTGACGGGAACTACATTAATCTATACACTGCCACCGATGCCACGCCATTGAACAGCTGAGTTAGCTTCATTAGAAGTCGATAATGTAAGGGTAGCGGGCCAGCAGCGGTGCCAGACTGCCAGTTACTGGGCGCAACCGTACGAACAGAAATGAAAAACCTAGACTTTCAAGGAATCCACACAACTCCAAGACTTCTACGGTCCTAATGTCCCTCATTTTGTGAGAAGCCACATCTTTGACTTGTGTAATAATATTATGGTCTGACGAGATCCTCTTGTATTCTCTGATGTGTGAAGTCAGGCAGCTCGAGAAGGCGATGATCCCATGGGCGGACAAGCAAGAACGGACTGTCGAACGGGCTTTGCCCGCGAGAACTGAATCAATGTCTCGTCCGTGGCGACCCGCAGGCCCTGATTCAAAGCCCATCTGCTTCGATTCCATACATGAAATGGATGTCCCCAAGGAGCCCAAGACCGGAAAATTTGTTTCCCATTCTCCTAGCATGCGAACAATCAATGATGCCAGCGGCCAGATATTAATCTTTGAAGAGCCTAGTTTTTTTTCACGCGGTCGTCGGCCTAGATGGAGGGTCGGACTGAATCGTTGAATAATCCTGTTTTGCTAGATTCGGCATAGGGCCGAACTTCGTTGGCAGGAACCTCGTTTACAGGTTCTGTACTTAAGTAAAATAGTAAAGGCGGTTCAACTGCATGATTGGGGGAAATCTGCAGCTCTGGACAATGACAAGTTGAGGCAGCCATGCTCCGAGATATTGTTGGTGTACCGTGATCGACATGAAGGCAAATGCCGGTGCTACGGCCCCGGGCCGGGGGTCTATTCGAGGTGGCGGGTCAGGCAGCGCTTGGACTGGAACTTCCAATTATGCCGCATCATAGTTGAACTTGTGCATCAGAAATCCCCCAAGACATGGCCTGGCCAGACCCGCGTATAGGCAGAATGATGCGACAACAAAGATTTAATATGGTGGGCAGCCAAGGCCCAGCACATGGGTAGTCTACTCAGTGCTCGTCAAAGCGCATGGTCTGCTTGGACGCAAGAGCCATCCAAGCGTGCATCCAAGCGTTTACCCCGCCCTGATGTCGTGAGGGACCAAAGCGTTGGTCTATTGCGATACTTAAAGCGTCCAGACTGCATTGGTTTCAGTACCACAGAAGAATAAATCGCCCATCGCTCACCAGTATCCCACTCCCATCTGATCCTGGAGATGGCATCCCTCTTATCTACAGATAGTTCTGCACCCAGTTTGTCATCGATATCCCCTGACATAGATGAAGTGCTCGCCGGTGTCCGGTATATCATGGAGATCTCTGTGGCCGCACAAGACGCAAAACTCCTAGACATCATTTCTATTCTGACCACTCAAGCCGAGAAAGTCAAGGAAAGAGATCAATCGATCATCATCATGCAGTCGAAGCTAGAGTAAGTTATCTCTATGATGTTGTTCTACTTGCTCAAAGTACTCAATCGATACTCAGCTCACAGCAAGCCATCATGGAGGAGATTCGTTCGGAACAGCGACAGCTAATATCAGCTGTCGCATCCTTCATGGAAAGCAACGCGCAAGATGCCTCAGCGGTACTTACTCCGCCTGTAATCCTGGGAACGCCAGAGCCTGTGACACCCGCTGTGAACCCAGAAAGATCGCCAAGCGCTATCTCAGTGCCGGAGTTGCCTTCCTCTCAGGCAACTCCCACACCCGCATTTCACCCTTCATCATACCGTAACAGCATTCCTGTCGCGCACGCCAGCTTGAGGACTGCCACCGCTGATGACCGATGGAGGGCTCCGAAGCGCTACATCAAAACGCAACGGGGTGGCCAAATCCGGCGCCAGGGTGCTTTCTACGGTACTCCCGACTGGAGCACTATGACAGCAATTTCCGGTGATGTACCTGATTGTGGTGTACCTCCTCCCTCTCCCCCGGCGGGCCCCCAGATCCAAGAAGAAGTCATCTCCACAGCGGGGAATTCTCGCGCAGATGTACACACACCGGTGGAAGTTACGCGGGAGATAGACGCTGCTGCCGACGCCGTGAAGGCTGCAGTAAGGAACGAAGGTAATAGGGCCTCTGATGCCTCTTCCATGGGCCGTAACTCCTGCAAGCGTTGCCGAGATCCTGACGAGCAGGAGGCACGCAAGACTGCAAATCGTATGAACATATCTAGCATCGTTCATACTACGCCCGATGGGTCTTCTCCCTCCATTTCGTTTTCTTTCTGTTCCACTAGGCCTGGTCCTGATCGGAGCGGTGGCTCTGACTGTGATGGCCCCCCGAAGCGCAGACGTGTGTCTCAAGATGTCATTGATTTTGATGCGGTTTCCGACACGAAACGCCCGATCCGCAGGAGTTCGCGCCGTGCGATACCCCGTTGATACCGTTTTTTCACCTTACATATTACCTCTTGTGTATCATATCTACCTTTATTACTATCCGCCAAAGACCCAGGGATGAGCGCTTGAGCGGTCTGGTTGGTTGTACTTTTTATATATATCACGTCGACATTAATGAACGCTTTCTAAAACGATAGTGCGCTCACTGGCAGGCTGGAATTGAGCTGGATTCTGAGAAATCGCATTAAGAATGGCGATATTCGCGCACTGTAAGCTGTTTCACGGCTCTTTGTTCGTTTTGACCAAAATCGCGGCACTGTTCGCTCTAGTGTCTGAGGCGTGAACCGAATGGACCTTAATAATAACGGTAATCAATAATATCATACTCATGACCGTCATCTTCATTCCCACTGCATGATATTCTTTGCTCAATGTGCCATGCATCCTCGCACGTTAGCAAGACTTACCTCCCTTTCTACTCATATTCGTCGAACACCTCTCCGACCTGCCCATTCGAGGCGAATGTCATGTGCTACTGTTCCGCCAGATAACGCAACCTTTCAATTACCACCATTGAACTTTGCCATTTCTCCTGTACCGAAGCATCTATCTGACAAGGGACGGCATATAAAGACTGCTGCAGCGCTCATAATTGGGTGTGTATAATAATACATATGTTCTGGGTTCACGAACAGAAAACTGAATGCAACTGCCAAGGGACGAAATTCTGAATGGAAAGACGCTCGACCGGAACTCCAATTACTTTGCACGATTCTGTTTTGAGCATGGTATTCAATTGTGAGTGTCCTTCCTGTCTAGTCCGCGCGCTGGTCGCCAAAACAACTTGTAGGAAACGCGTAGAAGTGATAGCAGATGATGAAGCTGAAATGTACGTGCGTCACTTGTAACATTCATATTGCAGGGGCGCAGCTGCTCAGCGAGCCCCAGCATTGAAGCCAGCCGGAGAATGGTGGAAACGTACGATTTTGTGGTGACGTCAGGTGGTATCGGGCCTACCCACGATGGTACGTTCATTTGCGAACTTCATTTCCGGCACACGACCATGACGCCATTCGTATCTTATCACTCACAGACATAACATATGCGTCTTTGGCGAAAGTCTTTTGATCAGGGCCTCGTATATCACAATGAAACTCTCGCTCGGATGGAGGAGTCTGGGAAATATCGAGCGTGGATATCAAAGCAAAGCGAGGAACAGCGAACAGCGCGCAAACGTATGGCACTGTTCCCTGATGCGGCGGAGGTGATTTTCGTTGCAAGCGATATATGGGTGGTGAGCATGTTTGAATACAACTTTAAGACTGGTCGCTAATTTTGACAAGCCCGTCGTTCGCCTGCAAGGGAAACTTTGCATATTTCCAGGGATACCCAGCCTCTTCCAAAAGATGCTAGATAACCTGAAACCCTTCCTTCCTCTCCCGCCTGAAGAGGAGCGACCTTTCCGGCTCCAAGTGTTCACGGCGTGAGCATTGCATCACCCCTATGATTCGTAATGATATACTGATAGTGATTTTAGATTACCTGAGTCGTCTATTGCCCCGTTCCTCACTGACCTTCAAAAGCGAGTACAACCTGAGGGTATTCGGATAGGCTCCTATCCAGTCCTACAGAAAGGTGTGTACGTGTCTCTCATAGGCGCGGACCGTGGCCGTGTACATCAGCTTGGCGTAGAGGTTGAGAAAGAAGTGGATGGACGTGCTGTCACCGAGGCAGAAGCGGAAGCCAAGCGGCAATTGGGCTGCCAGTGATTGAATGTTCGATTTATAGTATCATGTACTTTCCGGATGCGCGGTTGTGTCTTCATTTCCGCATACTTGTTGTGGAGACAATCCACACTTTGTTTCGTCTGCTTCTTACTTGCTCACTAGTTTTCTCGGCTCGCTGATACTTGACTTGTTCTTTCATTTCTCCTGCTTGGTGAACGAATGCATGGCGTACGACGCGTTACACGCCACCATATACTATCTGAAGTGCGGGTCCCTCGTCACCGTAAATAGGGTCTTTGTCAAACCATGCCAAGTCTTTGATAGCTTCAATATTTGCCTGCTCATCCTCCCTGCCATAACACATGTCCCAGTCCATTCCCTTGGGATAACTTCCGACCATCTCGAATCCACCGTCCAAGTCTTGCAAGAGCCTGTGCCCCACGCCTGCAGGAATGATAATGACATCCCCAATCTTAACTTCCGTTTCTACCTTTCCAGGATTGTTCTCTCCACCAAAACATAGCCTCGCACGACCAGATGCGATGCATAGTACTTCATGAGTAGTGCTATGAAAGTGCGTCGTGCTGTACATAGTATACCTCCACTGGGGCTCGACGACGCCGACGGACCCTAGATGGGCCTCAATAACAGCAGGTGATATCGACGGTTGGAAACATTCGTGATATATAATGAGAGGGTAATTTTGCAGGGAGGTGTTTGGGATGAGACTGAGGCTAGGAATGAAATGAGAAGACACTCGAAGACCTCGAAGAGGTGCTATTAGCGACGCCATCATAACAGTATACTAATACTGTGACAAGATAAAGCCTCCTGTAAGAGCCTGTAAGGCGCGTGACGTCACATCATTAATACGCGCCGCATTTTGCCGTGGTTATGTACTTACAGCTTGCTTGCCAACCAGTCGCATCATGTTTGAGGTTAACTTAACGTTCAGATCCACGGAGCGTCTCTTAGAAAATATTACAGATGTGACCCTGTAGTCATGCATTGTCTCGGCAATCAAACGAGGTGGTCAGACAGGTTAATAGGGCGCTAAATCTCCTCCCGACATGACCCGATCGAAAAATACTATGGCTCCAGTTTAATTGACAAAGATAAACATGACACCACCACCCTCTTCCATTATCTAATCCGCCACCGATAACTATTTAAAAGCTTTACTGAGGAACAGCAAATTTTAGCCTTCATTTCCTGCAGAGTCCAGACCATGTTCAAGGCGCGCTTGAGTGTTGTATGTGGTCGCGTGCAACCTCGTCCGGCAAAAACGTCGGTCGCCGCCGCACGAACGTTTACTTCGTCTGCACCACGAAGTAAACAACGTCTGGTCATATTGGGTTCAGGCTGGGGAGGTTACGAGATTCTAAGAGCCGTTGATAAGAAGCGATGGAGTTAGTCTCTGACTACGTTCGTGCTCGCGTGGTGTTGATGGCCCCCCTTTATAGATGTCACGATGGTTTCACCAACCAATGCTTTCAATTTTACTCCTTTGCTCGCCAGCTGTGCTGTTGGTACCCTCGAATTTCGCTGTGCGGTCGAACCGGTATGTCATTATACTTCCGTGACATGTCTTCACATTAATATGGATGACAGGTACGGAGGTTTTCTCCACAAGTGGTAAGTTAGATCTAGGGATGATTGGTCCACATGCCACCGAGAATTGATTCATGTTTGACTTTTAGGCTTGTTACCAGGCCTGGTGTGATGCAATCGGTCTGTCTACGCTTTCTTTGATCGTCGTAGGTATCTGATTTTTGTTTGTTCAGACTTCAAGCAAAAGACCCTGAAATGCGTAAGTACTCATTCAAAACCCATGGTCATGGTGCACTAAACAACAGTTTTCAGATGCCTGCCACGGCTCCTTTGGAATTTGAAGGATCTGCCTCTGTTGCTCTCGCAGGAGCAACCACAACAGAGACTTCGCACCCGCCAGGTACGGGCAATGCGTTCAAATTACGTTACGACAAGTTGGTGATAGCCGTCGGTGCTTACTCGCAGAGTACGTGAACAGTGTCGTGATACGTATCATTCTGACAAAATTAATGATAGCATTCAACGTACCTGGCGTCAAGGAGCACGCTCATTTTCTCAAAGACGTGCGAGATGCTCGAGCAATTAGGACGCGCATCATAGATTGTAAGTGTATTTACGGGTTGTCACAGACATTGCTTACCCTACGTAGGTTTCGAGCAGGCCAATCAACCTACCCTCTCTGACGTCCAACGCCGAAACTTGCTCAATTTCTGTATTGTCGGTAAGCACCAGGTTTCTGATGACATTTAATCCTCCATGGTGATACAACACTTCATAGGTGGTGGACCCACGGGTGTCGAATTCTCAGCAGAGTTGCATGATTTGCTGCATGCTGAGATTGAGAGACACTATCCGTCACTCGCGCGCATGGCCAAAATCACACTCTACGACGTGGCGCCAAACATCCTCGGCAACTTTGACAAGTCCCTGGCAGTGTAGGTGACCTGTGTCTTTCTCCAGAATCCCTGATAACCTTTGAACCGATAGCTATGCTGAAAACAAGTTCCGGAGAGACGGTATTAGTATCAAAACAAGACACCATGTGGAGCGTGTTGAGAAGGTCCGAATAACGCGCTGCAGTTATCCCAAATCTCGACGCTGATTGTTACACAGGACCGCATGTTCGTTAAAGAACAAGGAGAAGGTCTGCAATCAACACTGCTAATCGTTTAGGTCAAGTTCTTGCTCACCACAGTTGTTGTAGTTCCATTTGGTCTCCTTGTTTGGAGTACTGGGTTAGCTCCTAATCCGCTTATCCAGTCAATTGATTCTCTTGAGAAACACGATAAGACACAAAGGTCTGCGGTCATGCTTGATTAGCCGCGAAGCCATGCTGACGCATATGGCTGTCTCTAGCCTTTTCACTAACCAAAACCTTAATGTCATCACCAAAGAAGGCCATGCAGATCCAGATGTTTGGGCTATCGGTGATTCTGCGAGCATCAAAGGACAGCTCCATCCCGCCACTGCACAAGGTCTGTCTGCCCATAACCCTATTTGGCGCCCATGGGCTGCGGGTTTCTCATCTTGACAACGTCTATTTACAGTCGCGAATCAGAAAGGCAAATACCTGGCGCAGAAGCTTAACAAAATTGTCAAAGATCAGGAGCACACAAAGCCCTTTGAATTCCAAAACCAGGGGAGCTTAGCTTACCTGGGAGACTGGTACGTGGCGGTCCATCAGAAGGCGAACATTTCTGATTCGGCTCTACAGGAAAGCAATCTATGATCGGTCGAGCGCTGATACTGTCAAGACTAAGGAGACCGGACGTGTAGCGTGGCTCCTATGGCGTTCCGCGTATTTCACCATGACTCTTAGTATCAGGAACCAGTGCGTGGTTCTATTTTCGCAGTCGATTATGGGGCGTCTGATGTATACTACTTAGGATTCTGGTGCCTACATATTGGTGAGTTCTGCGTCATTCCGATCGTCATCCCATGATCTCATCTCATTCCTGTACAGGTTCCTAAATTGTATGTTCTTAGCCGTGTACTCCGGTCATTGCTAATACACGTTGCAGGGATTTTCGGCCGCGATCTGACGCGCTTCTGATTTTCATGGCTGCGCCACCACCACGTTCATTTCACTCATAGGTGAGTCATTCTCTGTCGTGGTGGCCACCTCGGCTGACTTGATAACAGACTGTATAGACTTAGAGATATTACCATACATAAGAATTCGTGTTGTTATATTTACTGTCACACAGTGCCAATAATATGCGGTCGATGACATACAAGAAACAATACATAGACCATCATTCAAGAAGCAAAAGTATTAGCAAGTCAAAAGTACGATAGGAAAGACTCAGGATTGCCATGAGATGACTGCAAAAATGGAACAAAAGGATGCGTTACAGAATGGTGACAGCTTTTCGTCGGATTTTGCGCTTTTCCGGTGGTGGTGGGGAAGTTGAAGTTGCTACATAGGTCCGACATCAACAAGACAACTTCCGGAAACGTGGGCATTGGGACTCACGCTGGGGCTGCGCAGCCGCTGGTTTGTCCGTCATTGCCTTAGCACCGGCAAGAAACCCTTCCACAAAATCTTTATCGTCTTTGACGATCTCAGGCCCGGGCGCCACCCCACAACCCTGAAGGTCTGCCATCAGCGTCGACCAGGCGGGCTTGATATTCCTGGAAGATTCAATGATGCCCCGAGTGGAGATTCCGACATGGGCCACATGGACAAAGGAGTGGGGCGCGGGGCTGGAGATTATCCGAGGGCTCACTGAAGAAGATTTGGGCACCTTCTGCTTTTCTTTCTTTTCTTTCTTGTCCTTCTTGTTAGATTTGAAGAGGAAAGGCTGGAAGACTGAAACACGTGTTATGGCATGGCAGCACGGGAGAGCATTGAAGCTTACAATGGTGCCGCGTCCGATCCGAGACTTTTTTGTAGAAGACACTTGCTTCTTCGTCTTCATCGAAACAAAATCCGAACATGCGACTCTGACGCAGAATTCAATTTGTTTGCAACGAGGTAAAAGGTAACAGACGTACAGTTCCGGAGAAATAGTGAAAGAAAGGCTTGTCTTTCGTGTACTCGAAGACCTCGGGGATGGAAAATGTCCAAACCACACGGTCGGTCTTCATGTCAACGAGGCGAAACCAGTATTTCTCCTTGAGACGCATACCATGTCCGCCTCGCTTCGGAGGAGACGTGCCATGGTGTGTGTCTCGGTCGCGTCCGAAGACCAAAATTCCTTTGAGCTTGGAAAAGCTCCAGTTTAAATGAGGATTATTGAAAGGTGCGTAGTAGATTCGAACCGCAGCAGTGGCGACCACTTTCTGCATGCTGGGTTCGAGAACAGATGAAATGTATGGGTGGCGTTGTTTGTCTTCAGCGGTGAACGCTGACGAGTCATGCATCTGCACAAAATGTGATAATCTGGAAAGAGAAGAGGTGGTTTTGGTGTAGTGGGTGATCGATCACAGAAAGACACAACAGACACGGAACGTGTGTTTATATACCGTTCGATAACACAGGAGAGCGCCTGTGGGGAAGAGAAGGCTGCAGCGTGGCCCCCTCGTGTCATCATAATCTCTCGCCGGTAACGCAGGACCGTTTACGGTATGATTCTTGTTGTCAAGCCTGTGAGGGCATACATAGGCTGTTCCCGGTGATGCCCAAGAAGAGGAACTTCCTCCCTGATCAGTGTCTAAGTCCATTTTGGCACTCAAGGGCTCAAGTGCACCCAGCGCCAAACAAGCTGTATTTTTACGGCTATAAATGGTTTTAAACATGTAATACTGATGATGTGGATTGCAATTCTAGTGATTACTCGCCTGGCCACCCGCTTGTTAACCTTCTATCGGAGATGAGGCTTATGCACGGGGCGTGTCAGGTTGCCAGGGAAGAAGTCCCCAAAAACAAGTCCTCATGCTGAGGATTCTCATACGTACACAATAGGATGAGAATGTGATCTTTGTTGCAAAGCACCCTCGCTTCCCGGTGATTGAGATTCGTGGTACTAGTGACTGCATGACGTCTGAGCGGAAGAGCCCGAGCATCGGAAGGCCTGGACCACAACTTCAGATTACGATAACGTCACTTACGTGTTGCCCAATCCCATTAATTAATAATGTCCATGAAATCTCTACCGTCGTAGGTTGCGACGTTGTACATGCCACGAAAGCCAAAAAAATGTGATTCACGGAGACACAATTAACAAAATGGCAAGTTGATACGGCACCGCAGCTGCAGACAATTGGTGAGCTTCAGGTACTAAATATCTACTCATACAACGAAGTCAACGATCAAGAACATCATGGTGGACCGCAGACCAACGTGCCACTGGCACATACGTATTAGTACGCAGAGAAAATTTTCACCAGTTGCATAGGTCATCTGTCCTAATAGCATTCTTCAAAACTTCACGAGTCTGTATGACGGCTGTTGCATATGGAGATAACATCGATAGTTTCGTCTGTTACATTCTCTGATGCTTCTTCAGCGCAGTCGTGGTCACAGAGGCCCGAGCTTCTAGTACATTCGGAATAATCCTTAATGTACGAGCAATTGTGGCAGCGTGGACAGCAGCAAATCATATCAGCGGCCCTTGTGCACAGCAGTCAAATATCCAGACCACTTGGCAGATGCAGGTTGCGCCGCCATCATTGACACACAGCACATACATGGCCCCGATCGAAAGGGTAGGTTGAGTTTACCGTGGCACGACTCCGCTAGGAATACAGAGAATGCTCATCGCATTTGGGACACTTGGCTATCTGGCAACATTCACGATGAAAGAGCCGCGAGTCGCAGAAATCACAATCCGAAAGTTCTGGTAAGCAGATGCGGTTGATAAGCCCCTGGTTCAAAAGACGCTCATGATAATTCTGCCGCCAATCATTCACATCAAGACAATAAATCGATACGAGTCAGCTCTTACCTGCACCTGAACTCGTTTCCACACCTGACTTGCTATGCGATAACATTGTTTGTTCTCGGATGTCTGTAATATCGCAAGGAGAAAATCACAAATGTTACCACAGTCGGCGCGAGCTCAAGAGGGAGGCATGTCCCATAGTATGAGGACAGAGCGCGTAGAAGTCCCAGTGAGACGAAAATAGATGAAAACTTCTGAATCTGCATATGCTATAAACAAGGGTAGCGGGATTCTATGAATCGCACATGCCAGTGGTTCGTTTTGAGGGTCCAAAATTCCGCAAGTGGTTTTCATGATACGAAAAACCATCGTAAGCGTCGGATAATCATCTGATGCTGGTACATAGTCGGTAACAATCAATGAATCTTAATGATTGTCCAGGGCCTAGGCAAGCATGGTGGTGGACGCTACGGCAAGAGCTTGAGATCTGAGAGTTGTGTTCGGTGGTCACGTGATGCTGTATGAGGACTTGATTACTTGGCACTTGCTCCTTCTATAGTTCTTTTTACACTCCACAACCGACTAATGAAGGTAAGTAGCGCAGCTTGCATGGTGTACGATTGTTAGGGGGAGCGGTTAAGGTATTGTAGGTATGATACATCCATCTTCTGCGATCGTCTCCACGACATGTCTTAGTTGTTCGAATTCAACCATAAAAGTTTCGAGAATTTTCAATGCTACTGAAGCTGTTGCCAAGCTTGATTCCTACTCCTCGACTGTGGCTCGGCATTCAACGTCTAACCACTGTTTCTCTAGGCTCAGTATTTGTCTCAGGGATCCCTTGTTTTATCTGAATACTCCGTTCAAGCACCTTGACTTGGACCATGGCAAACACCCAGGTGTTCCGCCTTGCCAGCTTGATCGGAATGCAGTGCCAAGGTGGGGGTTATCCGCACTGCACAACACTCGTATTCGGACCACAGAAATACGCTGTCGCACTTTGAAGTTTAAAGCGCTCGATAGCCGCCAGACCAATTGAGGACCAGTCTCCTTCCATACTCCCCACTCTACATCAACTCTATATGGACTATCAATTATAAATAATCTGGCATACGCAACAACCTTCACGAGCCTTTAGGCTTCAACACTGTCTGGGCATCGACATTTATTTATTAATTTATGCACACACAACTCTGCCGCACACTCGATGTCAATGCCGACCGGTACTGCACCGCCAATAAGTGGTGGGAATGTATGGAAAAAACGCGACTGTTTCGAGCACGCCAAGGCGGCGATGAAGGTGAACACATGCTGCGAGCGGTATAGGACTGCGAAGGAGGCGGCACGCCGGGCACGGAGTAGTGTGGCAGTAGTGAACAGGTAGTGGGGACTTCCCAGTGCTGCAGACTTGGGCGCATAAAGTGGAGATGGCACTAGACAGTTATGAGGGGAGGGATGGTGCTGCGGTGATGGAGGTCAAAGCTGGGCATAATAAACAATGCAAGGCTGTGGGATGGCATCACGGGTCCTGTGCGGCAGACTATGGATGGCCTAATGGCCGCGCACAGCGGAAAGATGGCCGGCACATAATGTAAGATGCATTGTCAACATAATTGGCATCTTGGTGATACACGTTGCTATTCCAGAGGGATGCATTACCCGCACTTGCGGCGATACGCACCACAGGTGCGCTATAGTTGTCCCATTTGATGCATCGATATTCATATGACACGGACCAGAGCACTCTAGTTAATCAATACAGAAACGGGTATTATATGCATTTCCATCATGCCTACTTTGGCGATAAAGGGGCTGGACTTCATGACGGTATATATAGCACGAACGCTGCCAGTATGCATGCATCAAGTTCGCCACCGACTCACACCCATCCCTTGAATATGACTCTGGTCTCAAATGATGACAGTTCAAGTTGGTGGCTGCTCATCAGTTCGAATCTTTTTTTGAGCTATTGGATAGGTTCGTGAAGCGCCATTTGGATGATGTCGGTGATTGAACATTTGATACGGTCCTGCAGTTGTCTCCTCTGCTGCTGCGATGTATGACTGGGGTGAGTAAGATAGTGTTGAATCTGCCTGAAGGACTACTGGTATCCTCATGCTCTTTCCAGCACTGACATCTGGACAAGAGGTGGGTTTATTCCATCGCCGGAGCTACCATCTCACTGAGAATGGCGTTATAGGTTGAACTGGTCTGGGTGAGCAGAGTCCCATATCAGAAGATCGCAATGATTAACTCGGCGCAGAAGCAACGCTGGTCCCTTGTGACTATTTTATATCTCATCGTCTGTAGCTTATGTTATAATAAGCGCGGTTGGCACATCAAGCTGACTTCAATATTCTAGATGCGCTATATTGAAATACCATATATTGTGTACGTGAAAGCTAGCAAGTTGGCATTGCGCTGACAAGCCATCTTCTCACAATTAGCGTGACCCTGCTGCGTATGTCTCCCCACATGCACTGCCCTTGTTTTTTCTGACCGGCTGCATATAGAAAATCTTCCGTCAGTCTCGGTGACAGCTGCAGTAAGTATTCTGCTCTGAAACCTGCCACTCCTATCTAATTGACTGGACGTCTATGTAGGGGTGAGTGAGATCTTGACCAGAATGTTGATTCAACGCAATAACTCCAATAGCTGTGAGTTTTGTTGGATCGTTTCCAAGACGCACTTAAACTGGGATTTCAGGCGATATTTTTTTCCTTACACGGCTTGGGATGGTTGTAGTCATGAATGCCGTGGTGGGGGGTAAGCTACTTAGCATGATATTATATCGCCTCAGTGACTCAAACATTGCGCAAGCCATCATGATCATTCGATTACATGCAATGTATCAGCGATCGAAAAAGATGCTTATCTTTCTTGTTGTCATATATCTGGCTATCACCATTGCCTGCGTAGTGATCGCCATAATATCACTGAAACATATTTCAGGGGGTACGCTTTAATCATGGATGAATGACTTCGATACGCCAGGCTCATTGGACACACACCAGAGGAGCTCATTCTCTCCGGCACTTATCAATGCATTATTGTTCTGGGGGAAGGCGTCGCGCTTCGGATGGCAATAATTTGGACACTCACCACCGCATGGGAGATTCTTGCACTGTGTCTTGCAGTCTGTATTGCGGTAAAACACTTCCGCGAACTGCGGCAAACATCGAGCGGAGGGATCATCGGGGATTGCTTCACGGTGTTGATAAAAACTCACCTAATTTACTTTGCAAGGTGAGCTCATAATTTCATTGCGGTCGTCTTTCTTACTGAAATTCTGCACGTGCTAGCTTCGTTGTTGTTTCTTGTCTAAGCCTCGCGGTACGCCGATCTGTCACTGACGACTGCTGTTCATCAATGCATCATTTCTGTAGGACTCATCTCATGTGGGAGTTGAGACGTATAGTGGTTTTCGTCAATTTTGCTTGGTCATGCAGATGTTTGTGCTGGGACCACGCCTTATCTTTAGCGTTAGAAAATGTCGTGCCAAGCTTACGGTCAGCTCCGACGAAGGATCCAGCATGACCTCGATTGCTTTTCAGGAGCACGGCAGTAATGTGTAGAGCGGGAGATGACCCATG